AATGGGAATAAACTCACAAAAGGGATTTTGAAACTTTAAAAATCAAACTTTTCTTAAAAAAATCAAACTTTCCCTCCAAAATCCTCGGCAAACACAAATCCACCGAGCTTGCTCCGTAATCCGTACAAAAGAATTTAAAATCGAAAGTTATCAATAAGACAATACTCCAAACATCTGAATTTGATCACTGTATTCTTGATTTAAGACTTAAGTTATATAAATGCGCCATAAGTATTCTTAAGATTTAAGCTTCAAGACTTTATAAAATATAGTGTAAAAGATTATGTGCATTATTAGTAAAAGAAATAAAATGCCAACAGAAACAGAGCGTTACAATCAAGGGGGACAAATAACAATGAGACTTTTAAATTTGTTTGGTAAAAAATGTTACAAACATTTGGAAATAAAAAATGTTACAAACTTTGTATTAAGGAACAAGTGGTGGGGAAAAAGACAAGAGAGAAGGTGTGGAATGGGAAACTCAATTTTAGGTTCGCTATCACGTGGCTTTTTCAATTTGTTTTATCACGTTCGGTTTTTGGTTCGGAGTGGATAAAGACAATAAGACCATCTACATTGCATACAAAATGTGGATGTCTCTAAGTAAAAAAAATATTAAAAACACACTCTCTCTTCCTTTTACTCAACTTTATACTTTCTTTTTTATCATTTTACTCAACTTTTATTAATTTTATATTTAAACGCATTCCAACTTTCATCCATTCTCTCTCCAACTTTGTCTTCCACAAAACATTCTCTCTCCAAAAATACCCACTATCTTCTCTCTTTACTCAAATTTTATTAATTTATATTTCAATATATTCCATTATTTCAACTAAAAACACTTTTTTTCTTTCTTTTATTCAATTTTTAATAATTTTATATTTAAAGACACTTACAAAATATTTTTAAGGTGGATGCTCTAACCGAAGCTGTTCTCTAGTCTTTTCTCTTTTGAACGAAACACCGAAATGATCCGTGTGAATCGTTACTGTTTCCGTTGGATATCCGCCACGTGTCATGTATTACGTTGCATGTAAGTTAGCTGGTTCGTAAAGCACACGAAGAAACACATGCGATTGAGTTTGATTAACGATGA